TTCTCTCTCTCTTTTTACCCATTTTTAAAAATATGACACCATAAGGCACATTTTCAAATATAATAGAAATAAACAAATTCTAAATACTCAACATGTCAGGTGAATTTTACTTTAACAATTATTATGTTTTAGATATAGCTTAGTGTGTCCCAAAGGTTCATGTGTCAAAATTTATCTCCCATTTTGAGGTATTAAAAGCATGACAACTTAAGCAGAGTAATTAGATTAGATAAAGTCATCTGGGTGCAAATCCCATGATTGAATATTGGTGACATTATAAGAAGAGAAACTAGAGTGGTCACACACATGTGCTTCTGATCTCTTGCCATGGGTTGCACTGTACCACCTTGGGACTCTGCCAAAAACAGGTTCATCCATACTGTGAACCAAAATAGACCATCTTTCTTTACAAGATAGTTGGTCCCATGTATTTCATTTTGGTACTGACAAAATAAACTAACAACTTATAAGTGTCTTTAAAATAGTCAATTATTCCTAATAAAAACTTGATTCAAACTAGTATTTTCTTATAAGTTAAAAAATAAATGCTAGTTTACATAGGTATTATTCTTTTAAACCACAAGAATATGAGGGTCTTCATTTAAAAAGTAGTTTTCAGTTTATTCTTAAGAGTAATAAATTTTTAGAAAAGTAGAAGTGTTAATGAAATCCATCAAAATCATTTTCAGACATTTCTTCATTTTTTAAATGTTAAATTTTATTGAATATTTTCTCCATGTGTATAAAAATATTAAAAACATTAAAATGTCGATATGATACCACTACAAAAACTGTATTCTTAACCAACAATTTTTACTTAGAAAGTAAAAAAAAAAATGAAAGGTTAAAAGGCACATATATAATGAGTCAGTTGTAACATGCAAACAGGCATCTACACAACAGAGTTGGCAATGTGTAGTAGGAGGCAAAACTGGACGCACTGGCTCAAGACATTGCTATATAAGTTACCTTTACTGGAATCATTATCACAAATATGAAGGTTCTATTTATTCATCAAGGCACTTGGGAACAAAACATTTCATTTACTTTAAGAATGAACTTCTATTATCAGCTAGGATGACTTGGACACACACATAAACAAAAACAGAATGAATAAAATTTAAATACATTAGTCAAGGAAATCCATAGGGTTATATATTTTGGTAAGGTGACAGTCATTTCTAATGGTGAAACCTAAAACTAAGACAACTCTACTAAGATGGTACTTTATGGTGCCATTAAGCTGTAGATACAATTTACCTAGACATCTGATAAATACTATCAATTCCTTGTGCGAAGAGGACAGAAGAATTCAGTTTCCTGGTATCTTGATCATCTGTGTACAAGCATCATCAAATGTTATTCAAATTTTGGAACATTTTATAGATTGGATTATCCAGAAAGGGATGTGAAGGCCTGACACACCCTCTGCACTTCCTGTTGCCTGGTACCTTTTCTTAGGAACTCTTCACTTCTGAGGTAAAAATGCTTTCAACACATCAGTGTGAGAGCCAGTGAATTAGTTTCACATAAGTTTAACATAAATTCTTAAATTAGATCAATATTTACTAAAATACATGCCATGAACTTAGAATAATCAGACACATCCAAAAAATTTGGTGTACTTTTTATACAAAAGACTTTATAGACAAAAGAGTTTGTAGAAAGTATTGAGAATAGGAAAGTATGGTGAAAGTAATAAAAGACAATAGAGACAAACTGTATGTATGTGTATATATAATATATAATATATATATGGGTTTTATATATTTATATTTGTATATTTAAGATGTTCAAAATGTTTTGAAGCATGATGTCATAGACATCTAAAAATTGAAAATTTTGAGGTTAAAATTTAACTTTTGAACTATCAAAACTATAAACAAAGTGAGCATATTTGGACTGGATTTAAAATGAATTAAAATACAAAGAAATTTCACACATCCATGTAAATAAAAAACACCCCAATAAGAAAATAGTCTAAAATCATGAAATAGGTAATTAATCAATATGAAAATATAGTCAAACAAAGCAATATCGAAGTATTCTGTTTTACATATCATGTCGAATTGGCCACAAAATCCCTTGTTCCTTGGAGTACATGGAAATGGGCACCCCTCTAGTTTGATAAATTAATGTAAGTGGCACAATTTTTCTGGACAATATTTACAAAATCACTTTTAAGTTGCTTGCTCTTTTAATTCTTAATTCTAATCCTATTCATTTTCTTAAGAAAATATGTAGGTATATTTGCATAATAACTTTGCAAGTATGTTTATCCTAAAGTTGTTTATGATAAAGGAAAAGAGGAGAAAAGGAAAATATAACCTAGCACCATGTGTTTATCAACAAGAAATTAGTGGCATTATGAAATAATCATTGACCAAACATAAAAGTCATTACAATTATAGTCATTAAAATTATATTGAAATGGTTATTTGTGAACATGAAAGTTGACCATAGCATATTGTCAAATTTAAAAAGTAACTTAAAACAAAAATTTATATAATTCTACATTTCTCAAATTGTCTACGTATACACATATAGAAAAAAGTGTGGAGAATATGCACCAAATTTTAATATATCTGATCTGTTATCATAATACTTTACATATTACTCTTCATTTCTTCATTGTCCATGATTTTTTTCATTGACTTAGATTTTTTAATTTAGAAAATGTGCAATGAATATATTTATATATGTGCATATATAGTATATTTCTCATTCATTCATAGTCAAAATATTGCCAAAGAAAACTATTTTAATATTACTTCTGTACTAGTAAAATATGAAACAAAATATTTGAATATAAGGTTAAAGGATATAAAGCCAAAAAATGAAAACAACAATAACAAAAAAATCATTTTCTAGATATCTTTGGTATGAGCAAATCAGAATTTTTGTTTTGTTTTGTTTTTGATACTGGGGATTGAACTCAGGGACATTTGACCACTGAGCCACATCACCAACCCTCTTTTGTATTTTATTTAGAGACAGAGTCTCACTGAGTTGCTTAGCACCTTGCTTTTGCTCAAACTGGCTTTGAACTTGCAATCCTCCTGCCTCAGCCTCCAGCAGCTGAGATTACAGCCCTGTACAACATAAGAATTTTTAAAGAAATTATTTAAATGTAAATAAATAACTCGCTGCTTTTTCCAAATGAATTTGAAGCAGCACATAATAAAAAGCCAATTACTAAATGCCTTTTTAAAAAGTGTAAAAAGGAGCTGAGTAATTTGATTGAAAGAAAGGAAAGAAAATATTTGGGAATGAGACTAATATAAAACTTATTCTAGAAAACAGTCCAAGCAATATAACTTCAATTAGTGAATTTCTGATCAATCAAGGCTGGGAGTGAATATTAATGAGCAACATAGCTCTCACAGTCTAATAAAAGGAGGTGTACATTTATAAAAATAAAGGAACTTAACTGTTTGGAACCCTGAGAGAGCATCAGTAACATGGATCACTCTAAAACAGAGATTTAAACATAGATTTTAAACATATTTTCTATGTTCTATACATATGCATTTCATACTATTGGTATGTGACAAAAACTTATGGTATAACATTGAGCTGCACAGGCCTAAAATGATTTAAGACCAGCCCATCTTTGGGTCACCTGAACTGATACAGAACTATAATTTAAGGAATGTATAAAGTTTTACTATGCAAGCAACAATTTAGAAAACTAGAAAGGACTGGATTATAATAAACCAATAGAAAAAGTGAAAAAAAATAGCTTAAAAAACCAGTTTGTAGCCAACTTTAAAAACCTGCATAATTTTAAACCATTACAAAAACAACCATGTCCCTATACAAATTTAAAAGAAATTCAGCTACTCCCTGATACTTAAAACATTAACTCAAAATGAAATCAGACACTTAACTGAATGGGGACTACTAATGTCTAAACTTTTGATTTCTCAAAAACAATTTTGTTAAAAAAAAATTACAAAATTTATTGGTAAAAAATAAATTACTCTGTATTCCTTACTTTGAACCTATTTTCACAGAAGAAATTAAAGCTAATCATATCATTCAAGTAAGAAAGAAAATATGCAATAGACTCACAATTACTTCAGCTGGTTCAAAATAGCATTAAGATATATCTAACCACATTTATTGCTCTGACTGCTACATCAAAATTTTTTTAAAAAAAAATCTGCAATTTTAAAATGAAAAGCTGTGCCTCTGTAAAACGAACCAAGTTTCGTTTTGTTTCTTTACAAAAGTTTTTTTAAAAATTTGTTTTTGTGTTAAAAAAAAGATCTAAATTTTTATCATAGAATTTACTAATAACTTAAGCAGCCATCAGTGGGCTGTAAAGTTCACTGAAGGCAATTGAGGCAGAGATGGCTCTGGTTCCGCCACCTGCTATAAATGCTGGCGGGCGAGGTCAGTTATGCTTCTGGGCCAGGGCAATGTTCAGGGCTTTGGAGCCCAAGATGCGGCCATTCATCTCAGCCATGGCTGCGAGGGCCTCCTCGGAGGAGGAGAAGCAGATGAGGCCGAACCCCTTGCTCTGCCCTTCCTCCTGCATTACCTTCACTCTGTTAATGGATCCAAAAGAAGAAAACTCCTTCCGTAGCTTCTCATCATCGATGGAATCGTCCAGATTCTTAATGTACAGTTTTACCCCCTGGCGTCCACGGATTCTTTCCTTTTTCTTCTGCTCAAACATTTCCTTTAGCTCAGCCTGCCTCTCTCCTTTCTTTTGTGCCCTGCCCACAAAAACCGGCTGCCCGTTTATGTCCTTTCCGTTCATTTCTTCAACTGCCTTTTGGGCAGCCTGGTGGCTCTCGAAGCTCACGAAGCCGAAGCCTTTGGATTTCCCGCTGGCGTCTCTCATCACCTTCACACTCAGGGGGTGGCCATACTTGCTGAAAACCTCCTTCAGTCTCTCATCATCCATGTCATCCCCAAAGTTTTTGATGTAAACGTTGGTGAATTCGCTGGAGGCTTTGCTTCTGAGCTCGGCCTCGCGCTCCTTGCGGTTTTTGAATCTGCCCACAAACACCCTGCAGTCTTTGAGCAGCTTCCCGTTCATCTCCTCGATGGCCTTCTCGGCCGCGCTCTGGTTCTGAAAGTGCACGAAGCCGTAACCCTTGGAGCCTTGGTCATCACTCATCACCTTGGAGGAAAGGATCTTTCCAAAAGCTGAAAAATGTTCGTGCAGCGTCTTGTTATCTATGGATTTGTCCAGGTTTTTGATGAACACATTCCCAACTCCAGATTTCCTTAGGTGGGCATCCCTTTGAGACCACATGAGACGGATGGATTTGCCTTTTATCGTGTCAAAGTTCATGGTGTCTAGAGCCTTCTGGGCATCGGCCAACTGCAGGAAGTTCACGTAAGCATAGCCCAGAGAGAGGCGGGTGACCGCGTCCCTGCAGATGCGGATGGACAGCACAGGGCCCACCGCACTGAACTTCCTGAACAATAGGTCCTCGGTGACATCTACGTGCAGGTCACCCACGTACAAGGAGGCCATGCGGTACTTGGCTTCTACATCCATCTCTGCACCACTACAAGCCTGTTCCCAGGAGTTCTCGGGGCAATTCCTGCAGGATCTGGGCCAGGCCACAGATGGGGCAGGCTAAATCTTGGTGACCTCAGGACAGCCGCTTCCTGGCCAATCAATGGGGTTCAGATACAGCACCCCAAGCGCAGGCAACAGCCACATCAGAAAGGTCCACTGCAACCCAACCCCCTTTCTCAGGACTTGGCAATAGGACACTGAGCTCTCCAAGAAAGGATATCAGGACAAGACTTCCCTTTCCCACCAATTTGCGAGAAACCTTGCAGAGCAGGGCTGGCCCTCCATCTGAGCGATCTCCTCAGGAGCCCCGGGTCGCCGGTTTCTGGATAAAAATAGGCCTCACTCGACCAGTTTAGAGTTACAGCTGCGCGGGGAGGGACTCAGCAAGTTGTGACCCAGGCAGAGCCGTGCAGGGCGGCCTGGTCGCCGAGGGGAGTCCCCAGCCTGTCCGGACCCGGTTCCGCCGC